TAGTTTCGAGTTTTTTCCATACACTATTTAGCTCATTAAAATATTCATTCATAGACCTAGTTCCTTGCATGATAGTGCATAAGCTTAACTGCATATAACATATCCTAGCATCATCGGGTTGACAAAACCTCACCTTGAAAGTGTCCTAAATTTTCCGAGCATGATCCATATAGAATACCGTATTAGCAATTGGTTGAGAAAGAGATTTCAACAACCAAACAACAATCGATTGTTACATTTGTTCCGAGTAGGAAACAAAGAATCTCCAAGATCCGATCGAGGTATAGAACCATTGATAAAACCTTCCTTATTGCAAATGGACAATGCTAATAAGAAAGATCTACTCCAAGAACCATAATTGGAAGTCGTGAGCTCATGTGTGATAATAACGAGTGTTATGATGCTGCGAATGATGAAGGAAGAAAGGTGAATGTGGATCTTCAAAAGGTGGAATCACATAACCGGGAGAAGTAGAGTCGAATGCCATTGTTGAAAATCACGGATTCAATCAATGGTGAAAAAAAGATCAAGACTAGTAAGATTGATCCGTGAATTGTAATAAGTGGTAATCTGTGATTAGAATGAAAAAAAAATGAGAAAAATCAAGGAATCAAATTATGAAAGATTGTTTAGGAAGCAAGAAAATGCAAGAAAATATCTGCTACAACCAAGGCTCGACATCATGAAGAAAATTGATTTTATTGCTTCTTAAAAGAAAAATGTAACTAACGAGTCTTGGTTATATACGCATACACCGATTACAATCAAAACAACAATAACTAACTTTATAACTAACTATTAATTTACAAAGATGAGTCGTCAAGTTCTTTTTCCTACTAAGCTTCATCACTACCTCCAGCTAAGCTTCCAATATTGCTTTGTTCTTCATTGTTGTCGATAGAACATTGGAAGAAGCTTAATCTTCTTTACATAGAGCTCTTTTTAATTACATATGAGATGAATATCAAAAAAGTATGTGCACGAATAGAAAAATTATACTAACTTTTGATTATAAGTCTTGTTAATTTAATATTACTAGAATTTGTCAAAAATCAAAATTGAATAAATCATTTCTTCTCAAGGAATCAAAGATAACACGTAAGGGAAAAAAACAAATAAGGTCTAATTAATTTAATAATTCATTGATTTTGATGTAATTTTATTGTTTTTTGGATTTCAATAATTTGGGGAGTGAATAGAAATTCAAAATATGGTAATGGACAAGAATTTTATAAATTATTTTGATTAAACTAGTATTTTCAAATGTTAGTAGCCTTTGTGAAAGGGAATAACAAAAATTATAGATGAAACCCATATTTGCACCATGTGTTCTTATCAATTCGTTTTAAAAAAAAAATCCATATGTCATTGTTTTGATCAATTAAACCCATGTATTTTTTATTTAAGTCAATTAAATAGAATTTATCAAATATAAAAAATATTACGTTATGAGAATGGTGAAGACAGTGAGGGTGAGCAATGATATTAAGAAAAAAGAAAAAAAGTTAATGATAATGACTCAAGCAGTGAATGACACTACTCGATTGGCTAAGAAAATTTTTAAAATTGGCAAATTGTATTCAAGAGGCTGAAAAAAAAATACAGGAGCTCATTTGACAAGATCAATGATAGAGATTCTTTTGATGAACTAGTAAAAACACACTATGAAAATAATAAGTTTAGCCAAGATTTTATGAATCTTTTCATTTAAAAATTAGTCAAAGATGACATAAAACAACAACTAATGATCTATTAAAAAAATTAAGGATTCAATTTAATAAGTTTATAATTTTTTTTATGTAACTTTACTATTTCTTGATATTTTCATATTATTGGTTTCTTTTAAAATATTTTTAGAGTTTTGACGTTGAAAACAGAGCGCCAATTACAAAGAAACTAAAATATTTGGGGTATGTACACAGTAAGTGATTGGTATGAACAGTACCTAGTTCTTTTGTTTCTTTCATCCGGTTTGTTTTTTTTTTTTTTCTATTGGGCTGACCAGCAGCCAAGGCCTGACTCTTAGGCAAGCACGCGCCAGGCCTTGGCTGCCAAGCTTGGCCACCTCCTTCTTCCTTTTTTTTTTTTTTTTTTCTATATATATATATATATATATATATATATATAGGCTTATGATTAACAAATATATTTTTAGGTTACAATAACCATTTTGAAACATTTTAAATTTTATTGTAAATCTGTAATAGTTAATAATTTTTTGATATAATCTTATTTGTTAATATATATTTTTTTGATATAATTTTATTTCTTAATAAATTTGGTTTCTTTAATATATGAATTTTGAGATAAAATTTTACAATGTCAATGTTTTATTATTTTTTTACAATATATTATTATAATTTATACAATAAATTATTTTTATATATTTTAAATAAGTATTTTATTTTTTAATATATATATATATATATATATATATATATAGTAGAGAGAGAGAGAGAGAGAGAGAGAGAGAGAGAGAGAGAGAGCCAAAAGTATATTTTAGATAGTTTGACTCAATTGTTTTTTTTTAAAAAAATAATGAATTCAAAAATTCACATGTTTTATTTGCTTTTTTATATATATTTATTCAAAATTTATCGAAACTAATTTTGTTGTAGTTTTTATTTTAATTTATTGACTTCAATATATTTCTACAATTTAAGTGGGTTTTTATATATATATTTTTCTATTTATTCAATATACTCTCAATCTGTTTATATATATATATATTCGATTTATATTAATCACAAAAAAATAAAATTTTCTACCGGCATTACACTATACGAATCGTTAACCTTACGTATGTAACGGTTGTTTGTCCGCAACGTAATGCAGGTATCCTACTAGTGAGACACTATATAAGTTGAAAGTGATTTTTAAAAAAATATTTTATATATTTTTTTAGATTTCATGTACCGGATAAATAGGTATATAATAGAAAAATAGGATTATTATTATTATTGTTATTTTTAGGAATTATTTTAACATTTTAATCTATTTCTGAATCAGATATAGAGTGGAATTTAGATAAGGATACTAAGTTATAATATTAGTAGTTTTTTTTGTTTGTTTTTTGTTTTTTTTTTTTAACAAATAGTTTTAAGGTAAGATAACATATTTAAGGATACATGCAATGTTTCTTAGAATTTAAAAATATTTATATGGAATCAAATATTTTCACAAAGAATTCATGCCTTTATGAATATTTAATTATATGGATACATTTCATGGACACAAAATACAGTAAAAATCCATGAAACAAGGAAAAACGGTAGGTATAATAACCAAGAACATGATTGCATGAGACAATTCCATAAGCTATAAAGGTTCCATGCAATCTCTCTCTTCTGTGCTCTCTAATCCCTCCATGCGAGAGATCGAATGTCTCCTCTGCATTTCCATCCATATCAATCGGATTTGGGATGGAGAAAAGAATTTCTTTTACATTGGGTTTGAGACTGGTTTAGGAATTCCTTAACTAGTTTTATTTTGTTTTGTTTTTTATAGACAATAAGTAAGATCTAAACAAATAAAAATTTGTAAGTTAGGATTTTATTTTGATTATCTCATGTGAAGCAAAAGCAAAAAGAAAAAAAAAAAAAGGGTTACTTCCTTTTTTACTCACCAAGCAAATAAAGTAAATTACATAAATATTTTAAAAGCAAAAATAAATCAAACCATTACCTAATTCCATTTCTACCCATCACCAAACCCTACACTAACAAAATAAAAAAATATGTGAAATAAGATAAGAAAAATTACAAAAAAGAGGCAATACGTACAATACGCACTCAAGCGCACTATAGCAAGATCCACTATTTAATAGTATTAACCCCGTTTACTTCCACCGAAAATTATCATTTTCCTTTTATTTATTAATTTTCCCTCATCTCTGATCGGCGATCAGTGGGAATCTCCCTGCTCCCGCCGCCGGTTCTCCCAAACCTGACGCGAATTTTTTGACCCAATTTCACTAGTCCCTTATAAACCCTAAATCTCTTACCCTTTTGTACTGTCTTAGCTTCCAAAAAAATAAAATAAAATACTTCTCAGTGGGTAACTTTATGTTTTTGTGTGCGGAGCTAAGACTAATAGTACACTGAGATTCTCAAAAAATCAGGTCATCATCTTGATTTGCTCCAGCTCTTAAGTACACGTGGGGATCTGGGTCTTGTTCACTTCCCATTTCTTGCTTAAATATCAGTGAGTATTTTTTTTTTAATCATTTGCTTATTTACTTTAAATTATGTGTCAATTTTTTTGTTACTCTATAGTGTGTAATTTTGTTATTAATTGAGGATCTAGAGTTGATAATTGCTAATCTTAGGTCAATTTAGGTTCGATCTATGTGCATTTGTTTCAGATGTTAATTAGTGGAATTTGAGTTGAAGTTTCTGCTTCTAGGTGTTTGTGTTGAACTGGGATTTTGGTTTTGGAGCTAGGTAATGAAATGGGTTTTCGATCTTGGAACTGGAACTGTTGGTTGCTGAGAAAATCGAATAAATTTAACGCGAAGTTTCCTTTTCTTCTTTTGTTTCATTGCTGAAAGAGTGAAGAGATGAAGTATTGTATATCATTTGTTTGAACCTTTTGATTTAAATGCCAAATGTTTAATTTAAGCGAGCTTGAAAATTAGATATTTTAGGTTATGATTTACATCTTCCTTTTCTTTTCATTCATTTTTTCGAGAATCGAAACTTTATTTAAAATCTTCTGAGGCTAAACTGAAATCCCAACAGATTGTGTCTGCACCTATAATGATCATGAGAATAAATCCTTTGGATTCACATATTTTTAACTTGGTCTGCTCGAGGTATTACTTGGCATTCTTTTGAAGCTTGGTACCTACAGCAAGGACCTAAATGTTTCTGACAATAATTTGTGCAGATCAGCAAATGTGGTTATGCATGAGAATGGCGTGTCTTGTGGTTTTTGGCATACTGGGTCAGTCATAGCTTCTGCTTCAATATTTTGGCTTTGTATTTGATTTGAAGCTGCAGATGGAACCAAACATAGAGGAGGCTGTCAGGGCAAAAGAGATTGCTGAGAAGCGATTTGCTGAAAGAGATTTTGCTGGTGCAAAGAACTATGCTTTAAAGGCAAAAACTTTGTGTCCTGGATTAGAGGGTATATCTCAGATGGTGGCCACTTTTGAAGTTTATATTGCATCTCAGGCTAAATGCAATGGTGAAATTGACTGTTTCTCTGTTCTTGGATTGAAGCCTTCTGCAGATAAAGATGCAGTGAAAAGGCAGTATAGGAAGATGGCCGTGTTGCTCCATCCTGATAAGAATAAAACTGTGGGAGCTGATGGAGCATTTAAACTTGTATCTGAAGCATGGACTATGTTGTCAGATAGTCTTAAGAAAAAATCTTATGATGTCAAGAGAAACAAACAGATGGCATCTTGTGTTGTTCAGACAAACTTATCTTCAGTTCATGCTGCTGGGGTTACAGGATACAACCATTGTTCAAATTCACCCACTGCTCATGGACTTGACACTTTTTGGACAGTTTGCACCTCTTGTAAAGTTCAGTATGAGTATCTTCGGAAGTATGTGAATAAGAGACTTTCTTGTAAGAACTGCCGGGGTACTTTCATTGCCGTGGAAACCGGGACAGCTCCAGTCAATGGTTCTTTCCCTTACTGTCCTTGGTCATGTGTCCCTGGTAATGGTTATAGAAGTCATGGTTATGATGGGGTTGCATATGTCCCAACCACCACTGCCTTATATACAGGAAATGGGGTCTCGGGATTGCATGCTGGACATGGTTATGAGTATGTTTCAAATGTATCATTTCAGTGGAGCTCATTCTCTGGAACTTCTGGGAGTGTTGTTGGCTCCAATGGATCATGTACAGTACCTGCTGATACTGTTTATCAGGCTAATGGAAATGTTAGTGCAGCAAAGGTTAAACCAGCAGCCAATGGAAGGCGATCTATGAAAACTGTCACTGCGAAAATAAACCCTGATGTCCCTGCAAGCTGTAATGAATCTTCGGGCTCCAAGACTGGTAGACCTGATAAGAAAAGGAAGGTTGTCATTGGATCCACTTTTAGAAATGGGTGTGAAGAAAAAGAACCTAAGTCTGGTTCTGAATTAAGATTGGCTAATGGATATGCACATGTTGAGCATGATGCCAAGCTTTCCTGTCCGAGTGAAGTTCCATCAAAACGCAGTTCAATTGCACCGGCTTTTGATGCTAGAAAGTTGTTGATTGACAAGGCAAGGACTGACATCAGGAAGAAATTGGAGGAGATGAGATTAGCTTCAGCTGCAGCAGTTAAGGAGAACATGAAAGATCAACCCACGGAGGCAGGAGGGGCTCCTAAACAAGCAAATTTGGATGTTTCTGGTCGTCAAACAAAGCCAAACAAAATCGGGCCAATCTCGATAACGGTCCCTGACCCTGATTTCCATGATTTTGACAAAGATAGAGCTGAGGAATGCTTCAAGCCAAAACAAATATGGGCTTTGTATGATGAAGATGATGGTATGCCTCGCATATACTGTTTGATTCGCCAGGTGGTCTCAGTTAATCCCTTTAAGATTCACATCACTTACTTGAACTCTAAAACTGATAGTGAATTTGGGGTGGTGAATTGGATAGATTCTGGGTTTACTAAATCTTGCGGACACTTCAGGGCATGGAATTCTGATGTTGCTGATCAAGTGAACATTTTCTCTCATGTTTTGAAAGGAGAAAAGGCTGGTAGAGGTGGCTGTGTTCGGATATACCCCAAAAGTGGAGATGTTTGGGCTGTTTATCGAAACTGGTCACCTGATTGGAACAGATCGACCCCAGATGATGTCAGGCACCGGTATGAGATGGTTGAGGTCCTTGATAATTACTCTGAAGAGCTTGGAGTTTGTGTTACTCCTCTGATCAAGTTGGCTGGTTTCAAAACGGTATACCAAAGGAACTCGGACACAGATGCCATTCGATGGATTCCAAGAAGAGAGATGGTACGCTTTTCTCACCAGGTGCCTTCTTGGTCACTTGAAGGAGAAGCTAGTAATTTGCCAGGAAAGTGTTGGGATCTGGACCCAGCTGCAACTCCAGATGAGCTACTTCATGCTGCAACAGAAGTGGAGGCATAGCATAACCAGAGTCAAGCTGGAAAGCGATATTTGTTTGGAGTTCAATTACCATTCTTATAGAAAATTTTTAGGTTGACTGTACAATATTTCACACTTGGTCAAAGCCATTGCAACATTAACTCCATATGATTTTAGACAACTTGATGTTTACTGGGAACTGTTGTTTCTTGAATTCTGCGTCTATTGACAGTTTGTAGACATAACTGTACTTCTGTTGTTCACTTGGGGCTGTTGTAACATTAATTAAGTAGGCAGAACTGATTGCGAATTCAACAAAAATGTAGTATTTTTATTTGTATCTCGGCAAGATTTCATGCCGGGAATCGAAAGATTCAATAGACTTGAACTTTTTAGGAATCTGAGAGACTGAGTCTGTTCCTCTGTTTTTGTTTTTTCTTATGTTCCTGCCGCTTCCCAGCAGGACAAGCTGATTGTCCGCCAGCTAACAGGATCGTAATCGTTTTGCCGAACGCAAAGATGTACTTCGCTTGTCTCATCATTTTCATTTTCTTTAATCCATTCATATTCCCAGGTTTGAGTTGACAAACAATCAATCACAGCTTCTGCGCTGACTTGCCTGCAAATCATGTTCCTCATAAATAGAATCTTTAAAAAATTCTCATCAGCTTAGTCACACAATTGTTGATGACAAATTTGGGTTGATGCAAGGTGAAAACTTTTCCCTGCCAGAGTCATTATTGAACTGAGAAGAAACAGTGTATGAACAGGACATGAGAGGAAAGACCATAAATGGATCTGCCCAGTATTACAGATTTGTCCACAAAAATGGGCGTATTTGGGCTGATTTATTATAATGGGCATCGGGATTTATAAACTAGAAAGGTTTGGAAGATTAAAAAAACAATCCTTTTCGGAATTTTAGCTTCAGATACACTGAGCCAGTACCAAGCCAGTATCCTTAAGGAACCGCAACATGGATGGATAGAAATTATAGCCATTCATATGCTTTGCAGACACTGTTCTCTGTTATCAAAAAGTAGTTTTGATCTAATATTGGATGAGTAGACCTTGATTTTTAAATATCTTTTGATCAATTTTTTATCTTTTGACATGTTTTACTAAAGCATACAAGATTCCATAATATCTCCTTGGACTCCAATGCCAGCAAGTCAATTCAATGACTACATTACTCTTCATCAAGAACAACATAACCATACGAACTCAAGGCCACATATACAGTATTGAGACCCAAGGTATGGGATTTTCTTCCTAACCCATTTCTCATTCTCATAAAAACCTTTTTCCAATTCTAATTCTCTTTATCCCTCTCTTCTACTGACTTAAGAGTATTGGAAGGTTTCTAACTAATAAAGGGGACTTTCTTTTTGTTCTATAAAAAAGCTAGCTTCCAATTCAGCCAAGGGTCTTCAGCAGAGTCATTAACCAGAACTTCCAACCTCATTCATCATCATATGGTTCGTTCGTTTAAATAGATTTAATACTTGAAATTAGCACACTGTTTCCCTTTAAGTTTCAGGATCGGTTGTTTCGTTGCAAAAATCATTTGCTCATAGCGAATGCCCCTGGAAAATAAAGAAAAATAAGGACTACTTTGTTATTATAGTGTGGCTCCAAGTACAAGAAATGCGCGCCATTTTGCATCTCGTTTTGTTTCGGACGTACTGTTTGCATCATTAAAAAGAGAAAAGGTTAATTAAATTAATTCTTATTAAGAGAAACTTGAGATTAAGTTTATCACGTCCTACCAAATGCAGTTAAAATGGTATCGGATGTTTTTGGGAAAAAAAAAGAATTATATGATGCAAACAGTACAATGCTACTAACAATTCAGTCAATTCAAGAAAATAGTGGGAACCAGATTCTAAAACTCCAATTCGGTCAACTCAGCACCATTCGGCTGCCGAATCCAGTAATGCACATTTTATCAATTCGATTTATGTATTATAACAGCATTGACAGATTCGAACTACTAATGCTTATATAAATCATTGGGCAGATTAGTTGGAAAATCACGCCTTCTCATCGTCATTAAGCCTACATCTACTCATAGGTATCCTACCCGGTTGCTTCTCTATTATTTTAAAAAATACTAGTTGATTTTTTGCAATATGCTATGAATAAATTAAACATATTTATTTCAGTTTGATAATATGTATTATATTGTCTATCAATAAAAATATATTAAATTAAAGATAAAATACCATATGATTTATAATTTTTAATCAACATTTTGTATCTATTTTTTTTAATAAATTTGTAGTTAAAAAAAACACAATTTGTTCTTTTTTATGTATTTATTCTTAAATAAAAACTCGTAATAATCTACATATAAATTTAAAAAAGATTTTAATATTTTTTATGAACTTTTATTGAATAAATAAAGCAAAAGTTAATATAAGCCTATATAAAAATTAATAAATAAATCTTTTTTATTCTTGTTTAATACCGATGAGAAGAATTTTTTTTAATATATATATTTATTTCTTTATTTAGAAAATAACGAATAATATTAATATAAAATATTATATTTGAATTATTAGATGGTTCTTTTAAAACATTATTTCAATTATTTTATTTGAAAAAAATTAAAATATAAAAAATAATAGCAAATGGTCAGTGTTATGAGTATGATGCATTATACATAGTTAATTTATAATAAAATCAATAACTCTAATACATATTTTTTTATACATCATGATCATATTCATTGGGTTAAAGCGTGCAATATAAATCGATTTTTTAAAAAAATAAGTTGTAAAAAATATATTGAAGTTAGTAGAGTGTAATAAAAAATTACAAAATTGATTTCAATAAAATTTGATATATATAAAATAAGTAAATAAAACACGCAAATTTTATTTTTAAAATTTTATTATATATAAAAAAGCAACTAAAAAAATAAAAAAAACTTTATGTAAGATAAAATAAATTATATTTATCAACAAATAAAATTACATAAAAAAGAAGAATAAAAAAAATTAATTTGATGAGAATTCTTATAAGAAACGGTAAAATGAAAATCAATTTTAAATAATAAGAGTAATTTAATCTGATATATATGTTTATTTTAAAATCTAAAAATATATCATATGTATTTCATAATCATCAGTTTTTTGTGAAAAAACAAATAATAATTTATTTTTCATAATTTTCACACTTGATTTAATAATAATAAATAAATAAACATAAGTTGGTAGAGAAAACCAACCAAAAAAAAAAAGAGATAAAAATAGTGATTGATTTTTCATAATTTTCACACCAAATTTAATAATAAAATAACATAAATTAATGGGAAAAACAAAGAAAGAAACCAAAGAAAAAAAGATGAGGCAAGCCCGTTGCCTGCCTTGGGCTTGCAGAAGCAAGCCACTGCAGCAGGCGAAGGGATGAAATAGCTCAAGGATAAAATTTTCATTTTAAAAATTTAAGAACCAAAATGAAATATGATGTAAACTTCGAATATAAATGTCCAAAAACAGTTGTAAAATTACAAAAACACCTTCCTCATCTATAGTATATCCACAGTGTCTTGTAAGAGGATGTATGGTGAAAATTGCTATTTATTTTTTTCTATTCTTTTAGTTTTATTTGTTAATGTATGGTATTAGTTTTTCTCCTTTACATGTTATGTAATTTTTCTTAGAATCTTTCTATAAACTCTATTTAATTGAAAAAAAATTATTATTCAAATATTTTTAAGTATTTAAACTAAAAAAAAACCCATTACAAAAAAAAAATATATAGAATATACAATTCTCATAGCTTACTAATCACTCATTATTAATACTAATCATCTAACTGTAAACTGCAAGATAATGTGATAAAAAAAAATAGCATTAAACCTCATAGACATTCCAAGCTTTAAGTTGTAGCAAAAACCCATTAGAGGCACTTTGTGTATGTATATGAGTTGTGCCCTTTGGCTTGGCCAGACAAGGAAAGCACCACTTGACAGGAAATTCTTGTGAAATTTACAGCTGTATAGCAGAATGTCTAAGAAAAGATCTCTTGAAATAGTTGTGCTAAAACCACAAAGAAAGTCAGAGATGCAAATCAGAGCACGTTTTTGTCACTCTCTTTCTAAGGATTAGAAGATGACCCCAAAATGATAGCGCTTAGCTGTTGAGCTGTTGAACTTCCAATTAACATTTCAAGATACATTTCAGTACCTAATAGAACAGTGATGCCCCAACTAGGTCCCACAAATCCTCAACAAAATCAAAATCAGGACCCACATTTCCTGATCACATTCATAAACTCCCACATCAAAGACCACTTTAAGAACATGCAATGACCTCTTATATTTTTATTTTATTATTATTTTTCTTTTTTAAAAAAGTCAATGATCTCATTGGCTGCTAGGGAGCTAGATTATTATTGTTGTTGTTATAGATAAACCACTACACTTAAATAAAAATATTTAGGTTTCTTTGTAGAAAGGGAAAAGAGATGGAGATAAAACACAATGATGCAAAGAAACCACACAACACTCCAATTACACTCAGCATGCATCTTTGTTTCCGCCGTTTAGGGCTCTCTTTGTGCTAAAAAAACGCAGTGATTAGTGAAAGTGGACCCATTTCCTTTACCTAATCATTGCTGATTAATTTTTAAAATTAATCACATTCTTTAATTATTTTCTAAAATCTGTCTGCCACTTAATGAAATTCAACTTTTTTAATTAATTGTTGCTAAAAAAAAAGTAAATGGACCAACAAAGATGAAAACATCAACAAACAATATTAATAACAAAAAATATACATAAAATAGGAGGGAGGGGGAGAGAGAGAGAGAGAGAGAGAGAGAGAGAGAGAGAGAGAGAGAGAGAGAGAGAGAGAGAGAGAGAGCAGGATGACAAATATGCAAAGGATAAAACTACTAGCTTTGTATAAATTAGACTTATTAGCATTTTCTAACTTTTCTTGGCAGCAAGCTGCTCTACACCTTTTCTTGCTCTTTCTCTGAACCCTGCACATTTTTCTACTTCCTCACCCATCTAAAGCAAACTATATTACACTTTTCTTCTAAAGAACAGCAAGCTCTCTAGCTTGCTTTCTGTGATTACATTAATTGAGGGGGAAAAAAAAGCTCTGAAACCTTTAACATATTAACTTTATGTATCTGTCATCTTTGCAATCTCCACCAAGTAACATGGAGAACTTCTAGCTTAATTATCTCTCCTTCAGTTGGCATGTGACCCTATGAAGCTCGCCAATTTTGTTCAGGTAATTTTTTTAAAGAAAAGAAAGTCCTGGTGTCTGAAACCCTTGAAAATAGTCTTGGAATTCAGCCCTCTAATTCTATAATTCTTCTGTGTCTTACTCTATATAACAGTTGAAATGCCACTCCCTATTGCAGATGCAAACGGGCTCTCAGGAAGATTAACTCCTTGGTTGCTGCGTAAACAAGCAACCAAAAATCCACATCAGACATATTGCAGAAACCTTTTTTGTGTAGAAAACTAAGATGACCTAGTCCTTCCCTGAGAAAATTAGTCACTGCAGAAAACTAAGATGACCTAGTCCTTCCCTGTGAAAATTAGTCACTGCTGCATTTTTATACAAAGTTTCTAATTCTTTCTACTCATTAATCAATATTATAGAGCACAAAATGCGTATCACTCATTATACCTATCCTGCTCGCTGCAATTGGTCCTTATATGCCTATGCTTTTCCTCACTGGTGGAACCATTATTCAAAACATTGAACCAGTAATTGAAATGCTCTGCAGATGGGAATTGATCTGCTTGCTCTGCACAGGATAAACCATTAAACATTAGTGAGACAAAATAGGTTAAGGCTTAGAATGCTATCGCGGCAGATAACATTAAGGCAACGAAGCAAGGGTATTGTAGACCTTCTGAGAGCTTCAACTCATCCATAGAGTGGCCAAGATACGAGTGCCGATTCAGCGGTTTAGGTGCAAACTGAAACTCCGAGAGACGCCTTCTCTCAAGTTCAAGTGCCTGCTCATGTTCCTCCATGAGCTGCTTCCTGAGTAATCTTGAATTATCACAGACTCTCGGCACTACAAAATTAGCAAGAGAAGATGTTAGCTATATAAATATAGTGCCAAAGCGAAAAATAAAATGGGAAAGGAAGCTAAAGAAATCATGTAAGGATTCTACTCACGAGAGTGAAGCTCGGAATCTCCATCTACAAAGTGTTGGCTGTAATAGATAGGGTGCTGTATTTTCTCAGCGTACTTCCTGCATAAAAATTTCTCTTCCAACTATCACCTCAATTTGAAAAATATATAACAGATAATCTTAACATGCAAAAAAGAAAAATCAGAGCAATAGTTCCAATTTAATTTTATCAAGCATTTTATAAAGCAAGTTTAGGCGTATAAAAAATTCTCACATTTTAAATGGAAAGCAGTGCATGTAAACTTGCTGCAACGATGCAAGAATGATTATTTTCCCATCCAGATGCACAAAGGGAGAAGAAAAAAGAACAATCATGCAAAAGTTCCATGCTTTCCTTATTTTAAGGAGCACGATTACAAGTATAGAACACAAGTACTAAACATTGTCAATGAAGGAACAGGAGCCAGCTGGAATCATTTTGCAATTTTTTAAGTCGCTAATAGCAAGAGAATACAAAGAGAACCAACAAGGTCAACTATCAAAAAGGAGGTGGGTGACCCCATTGAACCTGGAATCCTTTTGCTTGTAACAACAGCAACACACATAGGTTGAAAAAATATCTAATATTTCATAGATAGGGATCCAACTAGGCAAACTTCATGATAGATGGATTGTACAAAATAATGGGCCTACCTCATATGCAGTTTCACCTATCAATGGAAAGCAGGCAGGAAAAAAGGTTGATGAAAAAGTCATGTTTTAAAATTAGCAAATTATCAAATCCACAAAAGCAAACCAACATATATATATATATGTGTGTATGTATGTATGTATTCATTGTAGACTTATTTAAATTAAAAGCCACTTGTACCACCTGTCAAACGATAGTGTTAGCGTACATTAAAGGAGCTAATTATGGACATGATAGCTGAAAATGACAGGACCATAACTACATAAGAAGAGATAAGGTTTAAAGCAGTCATGATGATTCATTCAGAATCTCTTTTGCCAATTTGGGTCAGCAAACCATCCAGTAATAATTACTCTATATCTGAACGCAAAAACATGATAATATTTAAAACAAAAGGAATGTTACAGGAACGATAAAAGGGAGAGGCTAAGCAAAATACTATAGCAGATAATAATAGGGCATGTTACACTTCAAATATCTACCTGTCAACAAGCCTTGATTTTTCCCTGTAAGGTTTCACAAGAACACGAGCCCCGCAAACGTGATGAGGATTCCCCTTTGATAATATTTGCTTAACAGTCTCTGCGAAAACAAAAGTCACAAATCCAAACATCCTCTTCTGTTGGCATGGAATCCTAACATCTTGAACGGGCCCAAATTTGCTACAAAAATAAAGGACCAAGACGAAAATGGAACATCTTTAACAAAACAACACACAGAAAATTAAAACTTGAGGATCGCCAAAAAAAATATCCAAATATAGTAACCTAAAATAGTTGGAAACATCTTGCTCCGTGAAGGTACTTTCAGCTGGAAAGGTAAGATAGATCTGTCTAGAACCAGCAACAATCCCACCAGGATCATTTCTCTCACCAGCATACTCCAAGTATTTTGGGACATCTTCAGTCAAAATCACTGAATGCTGCCCATGAGGTCTGTCCCAAACAATAAAAACTTGGAAAAGTCAGACAGATACATTAAGTCAGATAAATTTAACAGGAATGAAAAAAAAACATTATGAATAGTCACATATTGCACCTGTCAATGAGACGAATGCTGTTCTTCAACCGAGCTAGGAGCTTTGTGAGGCTATAACCCGCCTTACCATGTCTCTGGCTCTCTGTAAGATAACCCTCGGCCTGCAGGGTCCTCCCATACTTCTCATAATACATCATTGGCAAAGAGGCAATTGAAACCGGCACCCCTCTTCTTGATTTCAAAAGCTCGGTGAGCTCCAATTCAAGCTTTTCAAGAGAGCCAGGTGAGACGATATGTTCTTCGTTTGCAATCTCATTCGAATTCGGACTGAAAATCTGAGAAAAGCTTTCTGGCATGGGATGGCCATGGAAATACCTACAGTTGTTTCCATGCTTGCAGAACCCCTTACTGAAGTAATGGCAAATCTTAACAGGAAATTCAGGCAAGCTTGGAGACCTTCTACTAGTCCTAGGACCCAATGCAGGTTCTGGGTAAAAGTAACTGCTAGAAAAGTCAGAATTAACAAACTCTAACTGATCATCTGAAGTCAAGAACTGCATTTGGTTTGTTAGCCGATAATCTTCGGAGGCCATTTCTGAGTACCCTGGAGGACCAAAATCCAAGTTGTGGGCCTGTTGCTGGTCACTAGTCACTTGGGCATCCCAGAAAGAACCTGCAGTCCTAATCTTTACTGGAGAGGAAATTGGGTGTGCCGAAACTGATGTGTTAGGAATGAATTGCAGATGAACATCTGAAACAGGAGCTGGGTTCACCTGAGAAGGTGAGATTGGATTTAGGACCGGTGTTTTGTTTAGCCCCAGATCAGATTTGGCTTTGCTAATTGTAGCGTAGATCAAATTATCAGGGCTAAAGGCTAGCCGGATCATTTCTCGTTCACCATGGTTCTGTAATAGAATATACCCAATGATCTTACCGACGAATTCAGGCTCTATCTCCTGAATTCTATTGTACACAACCTTCGTGGACTCTGAAAAATCCATTTCAAATTCTCGACACTGCAAAAACAACACAGTTACGACATATGACAGGGTCAGTAGAATAGATTGAGAGGACACAGACAAGTACAATTCTTCCACAAACTGCAAATATAAGCAAATGCAGATCCAACACACCAAGAAGATAAGACTGAATACTAACACATACACCATATGCCAGCAGTTTCATCCTGTTATGGATAATCCAGAGAAAGAAAAATCACAGTAAGAAAAGCATTGGTTGCGATATTATCATTTTCCATTTGTTCCCTTGTACTTACTTTGTAAGTAAAGAGGCTTAGCATTTATGCCAATCAAAAAATCATCCTGCAAGATATTGCCAAAACAGAGACAGAGATCTCCAAGCCACATGTCGAAGAAATAGAGAATTGACAGCAAAATGAGAGGCAAAAATCACAAAAGGTGAAAATCTGAAAAAATTACCACTTCAAGAATAGCAACATCAGCAAGAAATACTAACATTTTGTTTCTTTATTTAGCATAAAAGAGAATTATTTGACATAAAAGAAAATTGCATAAAAGTTAACATCCCAACAAACTCCAGGACATTACAAATTTTCACCTTTACAAAAGAATCCGAAAAATCAAAGCAGAAAATGGTAAATATTAGGCATGAAGGAATTATAGAAATTCAAATCGACCCAATTAAAAACATCATCAAAGAGAAACAATTGCCAAACCCTCAACCTGTTTCTCCCATTTTGACAAAAGATACAAAAAAAAAAAAACCATTAATTCTCCGTCACAGAAACAGAAACACAGAAGTCAAAATCTTTATTGTATTATAACCCAACATCTCAAACCCCGAATTGTTTTTTATTCTGCACCTTACCAATTATTTCATGAAAGATTTGCAGGACCAAACAATAAAATAAGAAAAGAAATCAAAGTTTCTTCTCAGTGTAGCATCTTACCAATCCAGTTCAATAACAAAATAGTCAAAAGCAAAAAAAAAAACATAGAGAATGAAAGAGTTACAGGAACCATCAAATAAACCAGAATTAAAGTTCAGCAAATCACTGTAACCAAAGTTTTAGCACATTTTAACGGAAAAGGAACAGCACGTCTAAATTCAAATACTAATTGATAACAATCCACCATCAATAAAAAAAGGAAGCAGAAAAGGCAGAAAACCAGCCTTTGAAGCCATTTTTTAACACTAAAAACACAGTTTTGGAACATTTTGAATAAGACCCACATCCAAAAACTCAAAAACTTGGACTGTCATTAACCATTTAAAAGAAAAGGAAAACAGAGATGACTTTGCAACCATACTTATTTTTAAGGGAAAGAAGAAGAAGCAAGGATCTAACATACCCACCAAATTTAAAAACCTTCTACGTGTGGATAATAAATGGAAGAAACAAAGTCAAACAAACCATCCCAAGGCCTCAAACAACTTCCCCCCTCCTCTATGGCCATGGTTGATTGATCACTCTGTCTCGCTTTCTGTGTGTTGTCTCTGTTTCTCTCCCTCCCTGTACGTCTTCTCTGTTTTTTTCTTTTTTTTGCTATTTTTATCTTCTTCTCTTCCCTTCTCCTTTCTTTCTTCCTTTGTCTCTAATCCTCCATTCTCCACAAAAACGACACCATTCTTAAAAAAGGCAAAATGACAGAAAGGATATTGCTTTTAAAGGGCGCCTTGTCTTTAGTTCAAATCAACTCTCTCACACGCATAAATAAATACACACACTAAATACCCTTTTTTCTTGTTTTTTTGAATGATAAAGTTTAAAAATTGAAAAGAAAATAAATAACTTTAAAATTAAAAAAAAAATCTTATAGTATATACTAAAACTGTCTGTTCAGAGAAAATTGCGCGAATTAGTTTAGATTTCGAAAACTGAATTCAAAGTCTAATGTCAATGCTACCCTTTAGTCCATTTTAAAATGTCAACTAGTTTTATTTTTTCTCGTGAAAAAAAAAACTATATTTTTCAAATCCACAGGACTTTTTTTTTTTTTGAACAACAATAAATATACAGATACAAATATTAATCATCAACCACTTAATATACGTAAAAAAAAAAAACGTAAAGCGCTGAATTCATATTAATGTATCATCTATTTACCTTCCCAGATGCGTCGAGTTCGAAATTTTATTATATAAATATAAAATAAATTATTTAGCAATATTGCTGTTTCGGAAATATCCATGTGGCCTAGCTTTCTTAGAAACATTTCTGTCTAACTTCTGTCCTGTACCATGTAGTGAAGCTTAGGTGGCCGATCTATGGTGTAAATAACTGGACCAAAAAATGAGTTTTCTGTGATTAATAATCCACCGTTGGATCAACTTCTTTATTGTTTAGCGCTAAAAACAAGCGGCTGTTTATGCACGAGCGTGGTATTAGATGGCAAGCATGCAATCAATGATGGTCCACGTGTACATTATCATCGGTTGTGATTTTGTAGTACATTTCAAAACGCGAATCGCTTTTTGTTTTTATAGTTAGCTTACTGTGCCCCTCATTTCTGCTTGTGAATTTGCATGTTCGCCACGTGTCAATCTGAAATGGTTTACAGTCTGGGTTATAGGTACTTGCCATACAGAGTATCCGTAACTGCAGCAAAGAAAGAAGTTTATTTTTATTTTTTTTATCCAAGCGGGGTCCATGACATCCATGTGGGTCCTACCTCGAAGTCCCAGTTAAGTTCTCCGTGATTGGTGGCTACATAAATACATAATCACCGGATCTTTTGAGCAGAAATATTAAAATAAAATAAAAAAATTGGAGATTTCTTTCTTTCTTTTTTTTTTTTTTTCCAGTCTGTAGATGGTTTTATGCTCTGGATTGTATATATATATATATATATAACGGTAGAAAATGTATTTCTTTTTAAGTTTAGTATATAACAATAGTAAAAAAATGAATTGGATAGCGTTAATAGACGGAAAAATATTAGGTTCGTTATGGTAAATGACCTATTCAACCGGAATGAATTTGATTAGACTTAGAGGAATCTAGTGTTTAGACTGATAAGGAGAAACAGAAGGTAAGGAAAGCTACACTTATTATCCCTTAGAATCGGATCTTTCTGTTAAGTCATCTGGTAATCTTTTAAATTTTAGATTTTTTTTTATGTGAATTCCGTAAAAATATGGTTTAATTAAATTAACATTTTATTAGGGTCTTTTTTCCTTGTAATTAAATTAAATATCACGATGTCTTAAACACAGTGGAATGGGTATAAATTTTCTGAATTATAAATTAAATAAAAAATTCTTCGAGTGTTTAACAAACTTACTAGTAATTAGTAATTAATATGACAATATACTGTGAAATCAAAATTTGTGTGTATTTGTATGCATGTGACAATATATCTTTTTAGAACTACATATTTTACTTGGCTTATAAGTAAATGAGATTAAAATTTCTTATAAATGTCTGGATGTATATAATTTAGTTGAAAGTCGAAAAAAGAAAAAAGAAAAAAAAAGGCTAGATTCAATCATGCATATGATCACAACATCAACATAGGATTTGGGTGTAATATCTAATTAATTATATATAGAGAGAAATTAAACCTGCGAAAATATGAATGATATACGTACAAGTTTATAGATGATTTTTGAATCTAATATATCTGATAAGTTGTATATTTTAATTAAATTTTATATTTACTAATGTTAGATTTAAGAATTTTTTTATTTATGTTTGCAACTTTTGATTTTTTTACAAAACAGAAATGGGCTAGTTCAAACCCTCGCAAATATATGTAACGTAAATGAAATTTGAATAGTTACAGCTCTTTCTGTTTTTTTTTAATTATCTGCTTAAACGTGTAGGGCATTAACTTGTAATTAGAGTCGAATAAGACAAAATCCATGAAATGATTAACATCAATATTAATGTTCCTAGCTACTCGAACTTCTCTTGTTAGTCAAGTTTCTTAGAGTAATCCCTTTGTTGTGTTTAGTATTGTGAAAAAATTATAAATTAATTTCTTTAGTTTCGATAAACCAATTATTTTTTTTAAAAAAAAAAACTAAGTTCCTATATTTTTAAATTTTCTTATAACTTAATTTTTTTTAATTTATTTTGATTTTATTTTTAAAAAATAAAAAGAGAGAAAATAAATAAACAAAACGAAAAAATTGGTGACAAAAATGATATTTTTTAAAATAAAATAATATTAAATTAAGCATGGTAAATGCTAATCAATAAATTAAAAAATTATTTTTTGGAAAAAGAGTATCAATTAATAATTTTTAAAAAAATAAAGGAACTAGTTTATAATTTACTCTCAATATTGTTCCTCCTTTTGCTTAAGTAGAATTGTAATAGAGAGGAACATGTGTGATTGTATTATGTGTTTTTCTATTAACTAATTCCTTCTATCGGTTTTGGCAAAAAAAAAAAAACTGTCGTTATATTCTAAATGTTCGATTTTTGTCAGCATGTAATTATATTTAAAATTTTTAATGTTGTGAAAATGACAATTATTTTGAATTATTTATATTAGTAAATACGATATATTTTTCAAATTTAAGTAAGCTATCAATGAATATTAATCTATCCTTCTGTATTTATTGTTGCAGAGTTGAAGAGGAAAAAAAGAGTGGTGCAATTTCGAATTCTAATCCTACTTATAACTAAGAGGTATTTGTACCCAACACAATCAAGTGTATAACTAGATGAAAAAGAATATTTTCTTAAAACAAAATAGATTAAATTAAATACGATTAGTAATGGTTAAAGATTAATTAATTATTTTTTAAACTAGATGAAGTACATAATTAGCTTTACAAAATTAGAGAAATTAATTTATAATTTATTCTTATTGGGCATTATCTTTAATGCGATTGGTTGATAAATTCGAGACTATGTTAATTGTTCCGTGTTTAAAACATTTCTTAGATGATCCGATGATAAAAATCGTTGAAGAATCGCGCGCATTGTGTAGCGTATTAGATACATCTTATCTTCAATTGTTTATTGGATGGCTGTCCTTTGTCTAATCTATTAAGGATAGACTAATCTGTCGATCGAGCTTATCTAAATATATTATCAGGTTCTGTATTCGTATATTTTATGGCAAGTTGCAATCACAAGAAATAAATAAACATATATTTTCATTGTTATAGTTAATTTGATCAGCTTTGTCGTAATCAACTCTTTTTTTTACAAAAAAAAAAAAAAAAAAAAAAAAAAAACTGAGAAAGACCTTTTTAACAATGTTTTTGAGAGGCGCCCCCGTAAACACATTCTATATACATAATAATTGCTTTGGAAAACATACCATATGATACATCCGAAGGATCACCACACATGTGTTTTTGTTATTTTTAAATATTATTCGGACAAGAGGTTGCCGTAAATGAGGTGATAGTAGTTAATTAGCCGGCAGGAGGTTCTATGCTCGACTAATGTTAGTGAATCGTACGTTAAAAGATAAATTTTATAATATTTAAAAAATAATTAATATATATATATATATATATATATATATATATATAT